ACTCACACACACACACACACACACACACACACACACACACACACACACACACACACATTCGTCACTACAAAAATATAAGTCTCTAATCACAAACAGTTGTTTTTTAGTTTGTTATTAATAAATCTAATCATAAACAGTTGTAGTTTAGGTAGTTTTTTGTTTCGTGTGCTTTTTCTTCTGTATGTAACTGTTGTTTTGCGTACACTATTTACAGGCTTGCGACAGTCAAGACATCCCAGTTCACAGCATAATGACCCACTTTGCCCAGTCGTGGGACGACCCAGAGTTTACACAAGGACAGCTGGACAAATTCCTAAAGGCAGCCGCGCCCTTCAGGTGCAAGATCGTAGATTTTCGGGTGTATAATTAAACTGTAATGTATAAGAATGTTCGGCACCTGCAGCACAAATAGTTTACATAAGTGCCCAAACCGGCGTTGGTTGTGCAGAGGTTTGGTGATTCGCTGTGGCATTCAGGAAATCCGAGTTCGATTCTTGAGAGGAGAGAAAATTGTTGTCAAGTATCTCAGTCTTTCTGCTGGAATATATATCTCTCTCAATTCGGGTTTGCCCTGGCAGGCCGAGTCAGAAGCCAGACTCCTAAATGATGTAAATTGTATAAATAGGGGGCGTAGAAACACGTACATTTCTTTAACGAGCCGCAGATAAGAGATGTTGCAAGAAAATAACATACAAGTACATAGAAAAGGGGGAGACATAGAAAAAGGATCAATGTTTCATAGAAGAGACGGACCAAACCGCACCAGTGCACCCACGTAAATGTTGTGTCTCAGCTTACTGTTTCATCTAAATTATTATTGAAATGTAGACTAAATTTGTGTGGCGTCGGCACTCTAGTCGCTACCGCAGAATTACAAAGTTCTGTCTGACATGTTTGACCATTTTGAGTTACTTAGACCCTGAGGACAGCAAGCAAATGCTCTGTCTACTCTTTCAAAATCTTAATAATTTTCGGAGTTGTTTAAAGATATTCAAAGAACTGCATTCTAAAAAACTATACATATTTTGAAACTCTAAAACGTTGACGTCTAGTTTTCAAAACAGGTATTGAGCAATGGAAGCTAGTAATATTTTAGATAGCTTAGTAGTTTCGGATTCGGAGATGAGAGATTCATCTCAGTTCGGCCTCGTCTTGTTGGGAAAAGTACTTTACACGAATCTTCCTATTTATTAGATTCGCCCTTTAAGAGATAAATTCTGAGGTCCGGCCTCTTTAACTATGGTCTTAAAGTGTTAAAATTAATGTTAAACATCTTGGTGACAATTTAAGTTTTACAAATATATGAGAGAGAGGGAGAGAGAAAGAAAGAGAGAGAGAGAGAGAGAGAAGAAGAAGAAGAAGAAGAAGAAGAAGAAGAAGAAGAAGAAGAAGAAGAAGAAGAAGAAAAACAGAGAATGATAGATAGATAGATAGATAGATAGATAGATAGATAGATAGA